TGAATATATCAAAATATGAGATGCAACTGGGGGTGAGAATTGATAATCGAAATATTTTAAATTTAATCATGTGTTATATGATTATAAGTCCTGTATCATGTCATAGGCTAACTTTCGTCTGATTGGCCGATGTAAATCAATTGCCTGGGTAACTTATTTATAAACTTAAAGTACTTTTTGTAAACGCAACGTTTCACTAACAAAAAAATCACCGTAAAAAAATTTTAGCTCTAAACGAATGTAGATATTCACTGTTAAAATTAATCCAAAATAATCCACCCCTCTAAGAACTTCACTTAGGAGTGAATATTTTTACTAAATACTGCTAGTACTACTGTACAGCGTGGACCATAGTACACCCCACATCAAAGTACCCCCTATAAAAATTTTTTGCTGTTGAATACAAGATACCCAGGTACTTTAAAGTGTGAAATACCTGGGTATTAACTATGTAGATATATTATTTCTATATAAAATACACCTCTTATACAGTATAATACCCGGGTACTAATTTGGATTTTAGCCTGGAATGTATCGTACCTGAGGTACTATAGTCCGTGCTGTACGGTAGTTATATTAATTATACAGTATGTAAGTTTTAAATGCCAAAAAATAAAAAAAGAAAATTGAGACGTTATATGTAAGCTTTAAACTTTGAACTTTGAGTGTACCGTTTGATAAGCTATACTGGTAAATTATAATAGGCTTGTACTAATTTCACACTGTATATTTTACATTTATAGAGTTATACCACTAGAGTAGTAAATGTAACATTATCTATCTATTTCTACAATGTGACAAATTTTTTTTGCATTCATTTATTAGTTTTTAAGCTTCTTTACGTGAAGTTCTTTTCGTTTTCTAGTAGTATTAAAATGATAAATCTTTTTAAAAATTATCTATTTTGATTGGCTAATTATCACGAGTAATTACAGGTAGATCTACAAAATTAACCAATCATATGAATGTCTTCCTATGAAGTGTCATGTGATTATAAATGCTATATAAGTTACTTTTAAACCTTTTAAATCGCATAATGTTTCACGAAGAGATTGTAAACTGAATTTATTATTTTTTTAAAAAATAAATTCGGTTCTGAATTTAATTTACTGTATAATTAGAGTCAAAGTTGTAAAATCAGTCAATTGCTTAATTAGAATATAATAGAATCGAGCACGTGCATAATATGTAAAATTCATCTGATGCAAAATTATAAAATTCTCATTGAACGGGTCTCAGAATTATTAAAATTTCGCTTTTGCTAGATGAGGGGATGAGGCCTTGACGTTAATGGGTCTTCAAAATAGTTTCCTACATGTTATGGTTATCTACATGTTTTTACTCATATATTATTTGCAAAGGCCAGTCCGTTTCACATGCTTTCAACACCAATTAACGAGTGAAATAGTGATGGTGCAAAAATTTGGTGGTCCTGTGACTAATTAAACAATAATGATATCTTAACTTTCATCTAAAATTAATGTTTGGCATTAACACAAAGTAGAAAGAATTATCTAAATTTTTGCACCGAAAACTTTTATTTAATAACAAAAGGCAATTTTCCTTGCGAATTCATGGTTTTTTCAAGATCTCTTGTTTTTTTCTCCTTTAAATTTTACTTCGCATTTGTATATTATACTCGACCGCCAAATTTTTACTCTCCCAATTAACTCACGCTACATAACTCATAAATGCAGTAAATTGTATTAACCTTTTTTTTTAAAATGAGAAAGTATCATCAGGATTTTCTTCACTTTCAGTAACTCTGCCCAACACACTTTTAAATATATTAAAAATCAGTTTATATAGTAAAAAAAAAAATTTAATAACTCATAAATATATTCTACCTTCATCATTGCAGCCCCAAGTAACAACCTAAAAGTAATATTAATAATTTAATAAATTGAAATTTTGGTTGTCAAATACATGTTAATTTTTTACCTTTCTATCTCGAGTTAGAGCTGCTACATGTAGACTTCCACAGCTAATTTTTACAATATGAAAATCGTCCAGACTTTTAACATGCCTAGGAAATTTCACTTTTTTAACTCTGTCCCCTAAGCCGAGTTCGCCACAAGCATTGCTGCCTACAACAAACAATTTTGTGCATTTTGAATCATGAGTAGGTAGTTTGGGTATCTCTACATTATGGAGTTTTCTTTTTTGTGGCATTTTTTTTAGAATCAGATTTCAAATTTCAAGAAAGCCTTTTTATAGTGATCCAGTTAATGAAAAATTTGATATACTGTATATATAGTAATATCTTTTATTATAAAAACCGGTTTTTATACTATTACCGACAAATATATTAAGTGTTACAGTTACAATTTGTCCATTTAGATTAATTTTATTCTTGAAGAAATTAGTGCCAAATTTATTATGTAAATAATAAATTCAGTTCTGAACTTTATTGCATAATTAGAATTAAATTTGTTAAACTCAATTAGTTGCTTAATTAGGATTGGGTAAGATAATAGAACAGACGCGTTCTAATACGCGTGCTAAGCCTCAAAATGCTGCGCGATAATGCACGTTTGCAAAAGATCAGGCTTTGAGAAAATGTAAAGACTTTTTCACTTTTTTAATTAAACAAGTTTTTATATTATGCAACAAGAAGAGTCTGTACAGATTCGAATTCACTATAAAAGTATTTAAGTTTCGACAAAACATGCTTAGAAATTAAATTCGCAAAATGGATTTCTTTGCAATCTTATGCTCTCTCACCCTTATTTTGTTTATCTATTATTTGTATTCAATCATTTCTTTTTGCTACTACTTGTACTATGAAAATAAAAATCAAAAGTTCAAATATATACATAATGACCTAAATAATCATAATGCCTCTTTGTCAACCTCATCAAATGCTTCTTCCACGTCAACAAATGATCCAAGCAATAATATTTCTAATTCATTTGCCTTCATCATGTCAACTATAAAGAAACAATATAATGAACAAATTCAAGTTAAAAAAAATGCCATTAATAAAATTTTAAATATAAAAGAAGACGAAGAAATCATGAAACAGAAGATGTTAAAGAAAAGTAAAACAAAGAGGAATTCTAAGATTTTAAAGAAAAAAGACTACGCCAAAAACAAGTGTACGTCAAAGAAAAGTAAAACGAAGAGAAAATCTAATATTTTAAAGGAAAAAGACATTGAAGAGGACATCACTGAAAAACAAAAAGTATTAAAGATTAAATTTGATGAGATGATTTATAAAGAAATATTAAATGATGCTGAAAAAGAACGATTAAGGTTATTATATTTAGAAATTATAAGACTTTTAGAAATATTGGAAAAAATTGATCCATTATTAGTCAATCATTGGCTTCAATACTTTATTTGCGATAGTT